TCACCGCACAGGCTCCATAGGAAATGAATGGAGAGCGAGCGACGTCGCCTCCCGTGTGTCGAGCCCTTTATGGTGAACCATCAAACTTTTGCATGTCTATTTAAAACCAAAGACATATAGCATGGAGAAACTCTSTCCTGTCTTCGACCTTTGACCCTGAGGACGTCTGGAGCTGAGCTGCTTTCTTCTGACGTAAATRATGTCTGATATTTCCTGCACGTTCACTGTCCTTCGACATTTAATCCACCGCTTGAGAAATGCTYAGTTCAGAGTCCGCAAAGGGATTTTTTTTATCTTTTACATTCCCACACCATACTATTGCATTACCTTGCCTTGCAATACTTTTTACATTTCCTCACTAAAGCCATTTATTACTGTTGCCAGTTTACTAACAAATCCAGATGCTCACCATTATACAGCTGTTAGCCTACTACTTTAATTCAGCTTTGGAATGAACGTATCACAGCCACACATGGAAGTTATGCGCAGGTTTTTTAACTCTATGCAGCCACGCAAYATCACCGTCAATTTCCAGAACTTGTGGCGACACATTTTGGTRGCCKAACATTTCAAAAATAAAAGTCTTATTTCATTCAGTTCATACAAAACAATAAACTTATGCCCTGTCCCGTTATGGGCTCAGTATTACACCTTTGTTTTAGTCTAAGAAAAAAACCTTTTTCTTTCTTTTATTCAACTATGACCTGTTTGAAACAAGAATGTTGATTTGTAATTTGCCAAGTATTACGAAATCACTCAAACTCACCTGCGTGAAAGATTTGGCCAAAACGCATTCCACCTCAGAAAGATGTCAAAACATTTTTCTTTGAGCTGATAAGTCAGACACGCTCAGTCTTATCTTTGTTACAAACTATGTCTGAGAAGAAAAACAACAGGTTTTTCAGCAACAATATTTGTTAAAGCCTAGTAGAAAAAGAGAAATGGTTAACTATAGATGATAAAATCTTTTTTTTTTTCTGTAGGACTTACTTCATGGCTCAGAGATAAGCTGGAACACAGTAGCTGCTATCGTCTGTGACAAATGAGCAAAGTCGTTACTGATATA